GGGTTTAGCGAGGTAGGTATAATATTCGGATGAGATTTGAATAGATTTGGTATGGCAGACGCAATATTCGGATGAGATTTGAATGGATTTGATGGGCAGGCATAATACTCGGATGAGATTTGAATGCGTGCGGATTGGCAGGCGTAACACTCGGATGAGATTTGAATGGATTTGGTGTGGCAGGCGTAATATTCGGATGAGATTTGAATGGATTCGTTGAGGTAGGCGTAGTATTCGGATGAAATTTGAATGGATGTGATTTGGTAGACACAATATTCGGATGGGCAGGCGTAGTACTCGGAGGAGGTTGGAATAGGTTTGGTAGGGTAGGTGCATTGAATAGGTTTGGTGCAGGAGGTATAGTAGTCGGATGAGATTTGAATGGTTTTGGTGTGGCAGGTATAAAATTCGGATGACATTTGAATGGATTTGGTGGGGTAGGCATAATATTCGGATGAGATTTGAATGGAATTGGAATGATAATCGAAATATTCGGTTGAGATTTATATGGATTTTGTGTGGTAGGCGCAATACTCGGATAAAATTTGAATGGGTTTGGCGATGATGGCGCAATTCTCGGATGAGATTTGAATGGATTTCGCGCGACAGGCGTAGTATTCGGATGAGATATGACAGGATTTAGTATGGCAGGCGCAAAATTCGCATGAGATTTGAAGGGACTTGGTGTGGCAGGCGTAATATTCGGATGAGATTTCAATGGGCTTGGTGGGGCAGGTGGAGTTCTCGGATGAGATTTGAATGGATTTGATGAGGCAGGTGCAATATTCGGATGAGATTTGAATGGGCGTAATATTCGGATGAGATTTGAATGGGTTCGGCAGACGTAGTATTCGGATGAGATTTGTGGATGTGGTAGTCGGATGAGATTTGAATGGGATCGGCAGACGTTTGGGATGATATTTGAATGGTTTCGTGTGGTAAATGTAGAATTCGGATGAGATTTGAATGGATTTAGTTTGGTAGGCTCAATATTTGGATGAAATTTGAATGGGTTTGGTGCGACAGATATAATACTCGGATGAGATTTGAATGAATCTGGTGTGGCAGGCGTATTACTCGGACGAGATTTGAATGGGAATGATATGATAGACGTAAAATTCGAATGAGATTTGAATGGGATTGGTGTGGCAGACGCAATATTCGGATGAGATTTGTATGGCAGGCACATTATTCGGATGAGATTTGAATGGGTTTGATATAGTAGGCATAATATTCAGATGAGATTTGAATGGATTTGGTGTGGCAGGCGGAAAATTCGGATGAGATTTTGAATGGATTTGGTAAGGTAGGTGCAATACTCGGATTTGAATGGATTTGAAGAGGCAAGCACAATACTCGTATGAGATTTGAATGAGTTTAGTCTAGTAGGCGTAGTTTTTTTGGCGGAATACTCGGATGAGATTTGAAAGGGTTCGGTGAGGTAGACGTAATATTCGGATGAGATTTGAATGAATTTGGGATGGTTTGGTAGTACTCGGATGAAATTTGAATGGGATTAGTGTGGCAGGCGTAATATTCGGATGAGACTTGAATGGATGTGGAGTGGTAGGCGCAGTACTCGGAGATGAGAATTGAATGGATTTGGTGTGATTTGGTGTGGTAGGTATGGTATTCAAATGAAATTTGAATGTATTTGGTGGGATAGGCGTAGACCTCGGATGAGATTTGAATGGATTTGATGTGGCAGACGTAATATTCGGACGAGATTTCAATGGGCATAATATTCGGATGAGATTTGAATGGATTTGGTATGACAGGCGCAATATTCGGATGAAATTTGAATGGATTTGGTGCGATAGATTCAATATTCGGATGAGATTTGAATGGATTTGATATGGCAGGCATAATAATCGGATAAGATCTGAATGGTTTAGTGCGCCAGGCACAATATTCGGATGGGATTTTGAATAGGCTTGGGGTGGCAGATGCAATACTCGGATGAAATTTGAATGGGTTTGATATGGTAAGCGCAGTATTCGGATGAGATTTGAATGGGTTTAGTGTGGCAGGGGTAATATTCGGATGAAACTTGAATGGATCTGATACGACAAATGTAGTACTCGGATGAAATTTGAATGAGTTTAGTTTGGTAAGCGCAAAATTCGGACGAGATTTGAATGGATTTGGTATGGTAGATGTAGTGCCTCTCGATATATCGATCAAGCGGGCGACACATGATATCTCGAATAACTGTATGAAATAATTGACAGGATTTGATGGTTTGGGAATCGATTGGGGGAGGTCGTGAAGAAAATGAAATTGTCGTGGATTCATTACGTCAAATGAAGGATGCGAGATTCGGATTTATCTCAGAAGAGTTGTATGAAGCGATCCTAGCGTTTAGAGACAAACGCGAGCGATATGTGCGTCCAAAAGTATGGAGCAAAGATGATGAATTTCTTCACCGAGATTCTATATTCTCTATCTACGATATTCCACTCGGACGCGGGGACATTTGGACGCAGAAGTCGTTCAAATCTTATCTCATATGATCTCTTTTATTTAGAGGTCCTTCGTTTTAGATTGGATGATCATTTTCCGGATCTATTTTTGTTTAATTAGTGCTTTTGGGCGCATATGTATTGGACGATAGAATCGATCAGATTTGTTTTTCATTTTATGCAGGATCCTTGCGTAAGTGATCGAGTTTCGTCGAATGTATCACGGGCTGCGACGGAAGTATTAAAGCGCTAATTAAATAAAAGAAGATCCGAATTCGGATATCATTATACTTTTTTTCATTATACTACGATATTCAGTCCGAGAGATTTCTATTCTCTTGATTTCTACTCCCACAAGCACCAATCAATCCAGCTTCGAGATTCGATCTAAGATGGAAAAAGAGAGAGGAGATAATACAAAGGAGAATATCGGATGCCAGAAGAAAATAAAAGGGCCCAAGAGTAGGATTTCGTGAGGGGATCTCGAAGAATCAAATCAATTTATATAGCGCGACTTCCACTTTATTTGTTGTTTGCACCTAACGAACGAAGGACCAGAACTTGCTAAATAGATATTGACGACCCCGAGATTAGCCTCGTGCCCAGACGAATCCGAGAAACAAGAAACTATATGAACTTTATTACTTAGTATGAATAAGATAATCGTAAAGTCCTATTTCGAGTGACCTTGCCTAGATCCAGTATAGTAACATCTATATCCAAAAAGCAAATTAAAAAAACAAGCACAATCGAAAGATGAAAAGAATATCTATGAAAAAAATTTGACTTCTCTCTAATCATTATTATTATAAATAACCTCATTTTCGATCCCAATTTGATCTTTCAAATTATTAAGATTATTTCATATATAATTTGATAATTAAAAGGATTAGATAGATGATCGAGCCCGATCGTGGAAATACTCAAAGAATGGGAATAAACCATTCCCTTTGTGAGGCAATACAAGCTCAGAAGAAAGAAACCGAAAATTCTCAATAAATCATAAATTAATATTTTTAAGAATAGAAATCTCTAGAAATTTCTTATATGTTGTCATTAATTCTATTTCAAATCTTAATATATTTAAATAAATTAAAATTTAACCCTAAATATACATTTTTATTTCTTTGAATCAGAAAATTTTCGAACAACAATCTCGATTAAATCATTTCTCCCAATCCAAATACAGAATATCTATCTACAACTCTCGAATGATAAGAATACGAATCTCTTTCAATTATCATGTCCTAATCAAAATATTTTAATAAAGTACCCCCATCATAATTCAATTACGGCAGTGGATGTCCTAACCAAAATTCTTTAATAAGATACCCCCATATAATTCATTATGAAATAATTTCAAAAAAAAATAATGAAAATCTCATAAATTCATGAATAATCTAATGAAATAAATATTAAGAAATATTCTCCAAGACTTCCAAGCCTCCTTTTGGAATTCTCAAAACTCTCGAATAATCGTTCGTAAACAAAATTCGTAAGGCAACACGCCGCTATATCAAAACATAATGGAATTCCGAAAAAGAAAACACAACGCTAACGACCTCGAGACCTCCAAACAAAGGGCAGCACCCAGCGCCACCTGGCCCGACGCTGGACATCAAGGCGACTCCAAGGAACCGACGTCCACGAAGTTGCTGGCGAGACCGGCCGCAGTCCATGAGCATCGACGTCCTATCAACGACGCACGGGATCGGGCAGCGCCAGTTCTTATCTTTTCTTCTCTCTCAAGTCCCGGGCTTCATGGGCTAATCAAGGATATGTCGCCAGGGCGAAGCGTGTCGACTCACCGCAGAAGCATCGTGACGCCACGCAATCGACGCATGGCGCTTTGAATTGTAAGTGACTTCACAAAGTGACTTTAATTGAATCCCTGGGAGCATAGAAGACCGAAATCCCTGCCTGCTGTGCTGCTTGAGTCATGCTGAGTCATGCTGAGTCATGCTGAGTCATGCTGATTCATGCTGAGTCATGCTGAGCCATGCTGAGTCATGCTGCCCGCCTCATCCGGAATTCCTACCTGTTAGGATTGTGCACCATATGCCGTGCTCACGAAGGCCCTTGGGAATTTGACTCTGAGAACTTTCCACATCTGTGAAGATTTGCCTTGAGCTTCTTTCAGGAAGGGAAACCTTCTGCTGCACGAAGCCCAAGCAATGCCCACAAGTGGCAGCATCAACTCCTTTGGCGTTTAGAGGCATCTTTTTTGGTTCAGTGTTGTTTGGGAGGGGTGAAGGCCACTCTGAAAGAGGCATCTGAGGCATTCAGCTCGATGCGGCCCTGCTCGTAGTGTCTTTGGGCAAGCGTGTGACCTTAAGCGAAGCGAAGAAACCGCGCGCTGTATACATTGTCTGCTTTCCATCTCGACAGCTTGACGCATGTCCCTGGCTGGGAGGACACTGGGACCTTTTTCCACAACGCGGGAAACAACAAATCTTGGTACTTCGTAGAGGTTGCTACTTGGCTACTACTCTACTGCAGACGACTGTTCCAGTTTGCACGCTGGTTTCCCTCTTGAGTCTATGTCATCAAGTTCAGGATACCGTCCAGGGGGAAGTCCGAGATGTTGGTATAGAAGAGAGCGGGGCGCTCCTCGTAGCCACCAGCGTTGAAGCACATGTGGCCGCAGCCCGTGTTAACGTCCTTGATGTGATCAGCACATTCAGCACCGACAGCGAACTTGATGCCGATGCTGAAAGGCTTCGCTTGCCGCGCTCTGTCGTAGAACTCTGCGATGCTTTCCCCGGAGAGGGTTCGGCCACTGCTGCAGTCGACCGTGGCGCTGAGCATCAATGGAAGCCGCTCCTGTTTGGTTTCTTGGAAATACTGCTCCACCGCAACGAGTCCGGCCGCGCAGGTCTCGATCATCAGCAGGTCGACGCCACCATCCACAAGGCCGCTGAGCTGCTGCTTGTAGGCCTCGACCAGCTCATCGAAATTCACGTTGCAGGAAGATGGGTCCTCCACGCTGGGCGACGCAGGTCCAACCGCTCCAGCAACGAAACGGGGCCTGTGCGGCTCCTTCTTCGTCACCTCGGCCGCTGCCTTCTTGGCCAGCTCTGCTCCCACCTTGTTCATCTCATACACAACGGCCTGCATCTTGAACTTGCCTTGTGAGATCGTGGTGCTGTTGAAGGTGATGGTCTGACAGATGTCCGAGCCTGCCAGGAAATACTGCTCGTGGATGCCCTTGACCATGTCCGGCTTAGTAAGGATGAGGAGGTCACTGTTGCCATTCAGGGACACAGGGATGCCGCTGTCGTCCGAGTCGTTGAAGTCCTTGAAACGGTCTCCGCCTCCTCCAACATCTCCGCCTGCATGCGGGCCTCCATGCCGCCGTCGAGGAAACAGACGCGCCTCTTCAACTCGTCGTTGAAGTAGCTGATGACTTGCATGGGTGTGGGCGTCTTGATTTGGATGATCGCTTCGCTGGCAGGCACCGGCCGAGGCGGAGGTGGCTGATTTGGCGCCAGCGGTCGAGGAGGCGGAGGAGGAGCTTGATTGGGCGGCCGCCCTCTGAAGTTTGAGCTCGCCGCCCTGGGTGTAAATTTACAAGATGAAAAAACAAACAAGTTGAGGGTTAAGGGTTGTCAGGTGCGTCGAATCCAGATTCTGCTTTCCGCTATCCGCGAGTACCAACCTTTCACATGAACGAGCTGGCAGCGATGTGCATCACATGCATTACATTACAGTACATACCATGATGGTGAGCAAGAAGTGGCGGGACAATATCTTCACAGCTGGAGCAAGTGTGAAGAGGATGACGAATCGTGGCTGGATCGGGCATACTGAGTTTGCGAAAGTGCGATGAGCCTAGATGTTTACGGCGCTATGAACAATTTTGACGGGTTTTGGCCAGGCCCCTTTAAGGCCATCAGCCGAATTGGAGTTTCGACCATGTCCCCTTCAGGTCGCTGCAGTGGGGTTTTAGCCATTTGAGTGACACTAATTAGTGCAAACGCAGCTGGCTGTTCCACCGGTGTTCCCTGTCGAATTTGTTGAGAGGTTTGGGGTTGCTGGCGTTAGCCCGCAACTCCCTTTTGTGGTTTCCTGGAACCTAAGACCCTCAGCCCAAACCAGCAACATATCCCGAACCCCGCGAAATTTCACCAAGCGACTGAGATCTCAGGCAGCCAGCAGGGGTTCCAATCACGGAAGTAGTAAAGCCTGCCGACATTCTGAGATCATACAATAGGATAGTCCCAATATCTGGCAGTTTCTAGTAGGGGGATGGGGGTGGGGGGGGGGGGGGGGGGCGAAATAGAGCAGTGAGCCTATGGAGTTCAGAGAACCTGGCATGATCAAGATACAGAGAGTAGCTGCTTGAGCTAAAAGAGACACCTGAGTGCCTTGCTGTACCGAGTGTTGAGGCTGGTATCGCGCAGGTTACATCTCAGGGGGGGAGGGGGTGGCATTCCGAAATGCAGCCCAGGCACCGCTCATGCAGAAGGTGTCCGACGGACGCACACTAAAAGAAAATCGCACACTCAACAGCCGCGTCTGAGCCAGAGGCAAAAGGTTGGGCACGGGATGCTGCCGAAGCACTTTGCGCTATACTCTCCTGTAGAACACTCTCTTGTCTTACAAGTCACTAATTAGTGCTATAAGGAATGGATCCCAAGGTAAAACCGACTGAAGCGGAGGCTGGAATGAGGGGCCAGGCAGTTCTGCGGTATCTGTGACGGAGGGCAACATGTTTCTCATTCTGCGAGCCAGCCGTGGTCCAAGGAGGCTTGTGCCGTTCAGAATCATCAGTGGCTGCTCATTGCAGTATGCCCGCATTCATGATGTAGCCGCCCAACATTTCTGCACCCTGGCGATGGAGTGCCGATCGCGAAGTGCATTCTGGCTGAACTGCCGGGATCTGCCGGGGCTCCCCTAAGCAGAACGCGTGTTTGGCAGGGGACGCTGGCAATCGGCCATCAGTGCCCGAGCCTGCTGGGCCACGGTAAAAGTCTGGTAGCACTGAGGGCGCTTTCTCCACGAATTTCTCCAACACCTGTTGCCTGAGCTGTATGCCTGCCTGCTCCATCACTTCCATGGTTGCCTGGTCACGCTCCTTCAGCGCTTTTTGACAGTCCGCCACGAGCCGGCAACAGGTCCCAAACTCTTCAAAGTCGGCTTAAGCGGTTGACTTCACAGAAGCCTGCCAAATCTCGTTCAGCACTTTCCTCGGCAACTTCGAGGCTTTCAAGTACTCCGCTAGGACGTTCGCGTCCAAGACGGGCGGTGTCTGCTTTTGGGCCGGAACTGTGAGAAGGCGGATTTGTAAGCGGCCTCCTCTGCCTCGCTCCACACGAGCTTTTTTCTTCGCACTCACAGGGGTTTCAATCTCCGAGATTTGGGCCCTCCGCAAAGCATCAGATCCCATCATCAGCCTGACATACTCAACAACGGCCATAACATCATCAAAAACTTGAAAAGCAGCAACCATCAACCTTCTTGCTGACCGAGCAGCTCCTTTTCAAGCCAATCGTGAGGTGATGCACCAAGTGGCTGCGAGTCACGAACCTAAAGCCCCGGATGACCGAGAAAAGGCATACACAAGGTGACGCAGTCTCATCGCATTCACATGCCATGGGCAGTGGAGCTGTGAAGCGCCTTGTCAGTTGAGACTTGGGTGACACGGAGCACCAGGAGGTCTTGGAGTTGCTAAACCTCAGACGCTTGGACGCGAGGCTGTACATCTTGCACAGAGTCCCGAGCGCCCGACACTTCCATGCAATCTCCCAGCGACCAAGATGAAGTGGCAGGTTCGGAGGGCATCCTTTGCCTCGGGCGCAAAAACCACCACGTCTGGTGAGCCCCACAGTGGCCGCAGCACTGATTGGGAAACCAAGATGCAGTTCCGCATGGTCTGACAAGCGGCTATATATCTATATATATATATGTGCATACATAAATGTGGTCACCCCCCCCCCCCCCCCCCCCCCCCCATGATCCACACCAGTCCTTTCTGTTGTGGTGCCCCTTGGCTTCTGATTCGGGATCCTGTGTTTGAAGATACGAAAACACCGGTATTTACAAGGTTTTTTGTAATTGTGGAAGCTTATATGGAGTGAAGACTTGCATAACGAGTGAACCAGAGCACCTGGTTTCTGAAACCGGAATCCGGTTTTGGATTCAGTCATTTCTATATACTGAAATTACACTCCTGACAGTGTTTTCGCACCTTTCTGATGCCAGAACACCAGTTTCAGCTACATTTTCCTCCCCAAAAACAAGAAAACCTGAAATCTCCTATGCGTATCACACCCATCTCCCCAGATAAGCAAAACCCAAAACAGGATTTATTCAGCTTATGTTTCCTCTATATACTATGTTGAGGGTCAAGCATCTTCCCCCCCAATAAGCAGGATATTGTTTTTGGGCACCTCCTCGAGGTTTTGCAACATTACAAAACACTATACCTTAGCTAACACGTCATATTTAAAAAACCATTCTATGCGAATTGAACTACTAGAGTATTAAATAAATAGCCCAGTTTGACTCAAGAGAATACTATTTATAGAAGCTGTTATACTTACATAACAATGAAACAAAGATTTCTGAAGTACAAAATAAAAGCACAAGTATACTATGTCTGAAAAGCACAACTTGCATAAGCAAGCTTCAAACATGCACTTTCCTAGAAAAGTTAGCGCAGGCCATATCACAAGCAAATTCACAAATATGAAAACATTCAAAAGCGCAAGCTTTTCAGGAGAATCTCTGGCGAAGTTTGGATTGTGGGGTTTTGGAGTACCCCTAGACAAATAGTGTCACTTTTTAACAACCATGTCTAAGCAATGAATGCTTTTTCTCCAAGACAAATATTGCAAATGATGTTTCTAGATAACTATTGCTTTTACTAGGCAAATTATTGCTCATTCTATGCGAATTTAGTTACCAGAGCACCAAGTAATAGCTGAATAAGGTTCAATTTTTACTTCATCAGACCACTTGAGTACAACCAAAAAATGCACTAAACACTAATTTCACTAAAGCGGTTCTACTGACACAAGAATGAAACAACTAATTCAGTGTGATGTTGGGGCAGGGCATAAGCTTGAGAGGCTGTGCCGTTTAAAGGGAATCTGCACTTGGGCTTAAGTTCCTCACACCTTTTCCCCGTGGAGTGCAAGCGAGACAGGTGGCAAAAAATCTGAAGCATTAAAAAAAGACCACTTATATACTATGTCTGAAAAGCACAATTTGCAAAAGAATCCTCAAAAACGTAGCGTAGCTATTGCCTCGTAAAACCATAGCACAAGGAAATTCACAAACACGAAGCCATCCAAAAGCGCACACTCTTCAAGAAAAAAATCTTCCTTAGACAGATAGAGCTGCATTGTAAGCACGACATCCTTCGCAATAAATGCTATTATTGAGCTATAATTACAAGATTCATTGTATAACACAAATGCCCACTACATGGTATTTGAATAATTCAAATCAGTGTAACTGCAAAAGGCTGCGTACAAAGCATGATGCGAAGTTCTTGTTTTAATAGGACAAAAAGACGATAAAACCGAAAAAGCCGAAAAAAACAATATTTGGAGACTCTGGAATGGAGGGAACCAAAACCAAAAACAAAAACAAAAACCAAACAGAACAAAAAAATATATTCTGAGACTCGTGGAAAGAGGTGGCCCATCGGTTCCAGGAGTCCTGGTTTTGTTTTTGTTTGTTTTTTTGTGGTTTTGGTTTTTTGAGTTTTGTTTTTTGGTTGTTCCATCCCAGAGTCTCCAAATTTTTGGCGTTTTTGTTTTTTTTGTCCCCTCCCCTAACCTACATCCAGAGCCTTCCCGAGGACAAAGGTGTGGATCATGGGGGGGGGGGGGAGTATATATATATATATATATATGCTACCCCGCCCCCCAAAGGCCCACGTTTTCAGCTCCTTTTTGATCTACCTGGATGAAATTCTGTTGTGTAGATGCCTTTTCTTTTTGAGTTATACCTATCCCTTTTCTGACATCTGAGTCTCCTGTTTCCGAATGCAAAAGTACTGCTTCTACTTGTTGTATGCCTGAACCTTCTTGCTGCCAGGAACTCCGTAGTAGAGGCAAGATACCTTGATCTCCTGTTGTACTAACGAATATTTGCTGAGTTTCTTACCATTTTAATGTAGCAGATTAAAGGCCATGTGCTATCTACTACTAACATCAATTCAAAAAAAAGAGACACTAAATCCAGTACGCGCGTGCTACATATGCTGCTTTGTATACACATTCATTGTGCACGACATGTGCGACTTATCATCTATAGAAACATACTCTTAACCATGATAGTTCCCCGCCCCAAGTTATAAACATATATATATATATCCCGGTAAAGTTTGATTTTATACAACGGGAGGGCAAGCATTATGTTACAGTTATAGTCTTTGAATGGCTGGGGTATCTAGGAAGAGAATGAAGAACTGAGACAACCAACACAAAATTGTTATCAGCTCCACCTCGGTCATCTTGCCCTCGCCCATTTCGACTTAGGGAGTAACGGTTTCCATGACGATCACTTGCAGCAAGGTCGCAAAGCTCTTGCCTGTCCCCATGGCTGTCCGCAGCACCCACTCATTCAGAGCGGTGGACACATACACCTTGCTGGCTGGGTCACTGAGACCGACGCAGTCAGACTTCCTGGCACATGTCATGGTGGGCAAGGCCAGCTTTGAACATTTACACTCGTCGAGCAAAGCCTCAAACACTTCCACTGCGTCGTCCTGCTGCCCTGGCTGCATGATCCCCGATCGTTCAAGTTTCTGCGCACTGCCGGCGCGACTTCCTCAAGAGGTGGCGCAAGTCAGTGAGAAAGACAGGCTCTGCCTCATGCTCTGGTGGCAACAGGTGCCTCTCGTGCACGCAGATAAGCACAACGGATGCCTGCAAAAAGCATGTATTGCCTGCATTCTCATGTCCAAAGCAAACGGGGTCGGCCTGGTCTGTGATTTCGGCCCTTTCTGGCCTTGCCTGACCGATGTCGAGCGGCCCCTCGCGAGAAATCGGCTTTTCAGTCTCCTCGGCCGCGCCCTCCGTGCGCTCCTCCCATCCTGCCGAAAGCAACTGCAATGGCATCTGGCATCGACTGGTTTGCATGGCTTCATTCGCTGAATCCATGGTGGCGGCATCGAAGCCAATGAGGCTTGCAGGGCCCAGAAGCTGAACCGAAGCTTGCAGTCGCTGGCGCACGGGCTGCAGCAGGTAGTCTCTGAGGAAGTGCTGCTGGATTTGACGATGGCATAGGATATCGGCAGTGTGAATGGCCAGGTCGCCGGGACCCAGGTAAAACTTGTCGAAGCGGTTCAAGAAGGGCAGAGGGGTCAGTGCAAGGTCCTTGGCCCTGATGCAGACCACCAATTGGAAGCGTCGATCAACCGGCGCCAGGACCGAGTAGCTTCCTGCAGCCACCGTCGCTGCAAAGCCCACGCGGCCGTTCGCGTGAATGCGCTGGAAGCGGAGGTTCAGGAGGTCGTAGAACCCATCCAAGATCTCGTCGAAGTCGACCATGACACACATGCCCGGGCGCTCGGCAGCCCTGCGGATGTCACTCACGACCGGGCTGCGATGGAGGTCACTCTGGTCCCCTGGCAACCTGCTCACCTCAAGAACTGGGACCTGTGCTGGGAATAGGCCCGCCGACTGCAGGACCCGCACAGCCCCACCATCCTCGGTCTCGTCGATGATGAGCTTGTAGCGGCATGGCTCGTAATTCGCATCCTTGAGGTCCCTTTCTGGGAGGTCCCTTTCTGGGAGGTCAAGCAGGGCCTCCTGCAACACGGCCAGCGTGGTTCGGAACCAGTTCACCTCCAGCTCCGCTATCCGCCCTCCCGTCAAGAACACCGTGCACAAGGCCATGAACTCCTCCTTTGTGAGCCCTCCGAAATTCCTCTGCAGCGCACGAAGCATGCTCTGCCCACGTAGCCCAGCAGGGCGTGACGGAGCCATGTCCACAAATGCAAAGTGCGGAGAAAAGAAGCTCCCAAGGCGCTGAAACCACGGGGCCGAGAAGTTCGCCCCGAATGGGCAAACGCGGTAGAAAAGCCAGCGACGGCCGGAACCCTGAATCTTTGGGAGGGAAACTCCGAGGAGGCCCTGATCTGAGTCACGAACTCGGACTGTCTTGTGGGCCGATTTGATGTCAAAAGCAAAACCTGCGCACATGCCGGAGTGAAGTCGCAGAGGAAACGACTCCCTGACATCATCAACTCCTGGGAGTGTGTACGTCTCGGGGATGGTGCATGAAGGGTTAGTGCCACAGACAGTGGAATCAACTACGAGACGAGGCTTCTTCCGTTCGGCTTTGACTATGGACATCTTTCCAATGGCCAGCTTATCGCCAAAACGCTCCTGAGCTGCTTCCAGGGAGTCCAGCTCCAAAAGCCAGCCATTGGCGACTTCTTCCTCCACTAAGGCATGCAAAGTTGGAAGGTCTGCTTCAGCGTATGACCAGTTGCCGTGACAAATGCCAAGGGATTGTTCAAAAGGATGACCTCCTCCTTGCGGCAAAAAGACGTTGGACAAAGGAATGTCGCCATCAAAGCCGGTGGGCACACCTTGTTGCAAGCAAGGAAAAAGGGAAACGTCACGGTCTTGGCAAATGCGCGAAACAACATGCAGTGCCTGAAGGCAATACGGCTGCCCAGGAAACACCTCCCATGAGATGTCAGTGCCGGGGGACTGGGTCGTGAGCCAATCTTGAAAAATGCAACGCAAGCTGTGCACTTCAGAACGTGAGAACAAGGCCTCACCTGATCCCGCCAAAACCAAAGTGCGCAAACGCTGCGGAAAGCGACCCTGCAGAAGGAAAGCCATAAGCTTAGGTCGCAGGCGTGAGAAAACGTCTGCTGCTCCGGAAGGTGGAACACTCCAGTTCGGGTGGCAAGGCGGGCAAGGACCAGGACAAGGCCAAGCAGCCTTGCCGCTTGTTCGCCAGTGGGCGTTGCACTTACGGAGACAAGTGTAAGTTCGCCCACGTCAAGGGAGATGCTGCGCATCAGCAACAGCAGCAGGAGCCATCCGGAGATAAGAGCAAGAGGGCCAAAGCGTTATCTCGTCAATGGACCGGCATCGAGATGAGAACGTATCGGTCATCATGGGAATATATAAATTCAGAACCACATTCAAAAGAGATCATGCATATACAGTGAAGCAAACAGAATTCGGACATCTTCTTTTTGTCCAAGTGGGGTCGAACATGACTGTGGCTCTGGCACCTTGTGGCTGAGTAGGTCTCAGCACCTTACTGAAACGAGCCGAAGTCTGAGCTCTCCCCCGGCCACTACTGCTCTCACAGGTTCGGCCTAAGTGAGTCGGCCTGAAACAGGATACGGTGAGTCAAAGTCGCTCACGTCAAGAAGCTTGTGGTTGATGCTGAGAGCTTGACGCAGCACTGTCACTTGGTCGTTCAGGTTCATGCTCGGGGTCCACAAACTGCCACTGACGCAAACGCAGTGTTGCCTCCTCTCTCCGAAGATCCTCTCGCTCTCCAAGAACGTCTTCCAAAACCTCAGCCACCTTCATCAGGGAATTCATGTTCAAGGTACGTAGCCACTGACGAAACTCGTTAAGCTGAGCTTGTGTCAAAGTTCGCTCCATGACGAGTTCTCAATGAGTTCAACTGACACGAGGCACAGCCAGCTTGAGCAAAAGAGAAGTCTCAGGTACTCTTAGACCGAAATGAGGTCCACTCGCAGCATGGACCAGCAACGGTCTTGCATTCCTGTCGGGCATACATCTGCAGAGAACCTGTCATACACAGAAAAGGGAGGGAGAGGCGGGCAAGCATGTTCCTTATTCATCTTTGCTCAGGCAAGAGTGTTGCCTGAAGCGTGGATCATCACAACTGCACACCTGAAGAGAACAACTCTGTGGCGTACCCGTGTTTAAAGAAAAGGGGGTGGGAGAGGCGGGTGAAAATTCTTTCCTCAGAGCTGCAGCTCAAGCCGAATGTTGCTTGAAGTCAAAGATCAGGAAGCTGACATGAAAGGACGAGAACTCTCTTCAAGAAAATGGGAACACATGCACTGTGCAAAATGCAACATGCTGCAAAGACTCAAAGCACAAGAGATGCCTAAATGACATGAAAGGTCATTTTCCATTTTCAAGATAAAACGCTTGCTCGTACCTCGCTGGCACGCTTATCTCGTCAATGGACCGGCATCGAGATGAGAACGTATCGGTCATCATGGGAATATATAAATTCAGAACCACATTCAAAAGAGATCATGCATATACAGTGAAGCAAACAGAATTCGGACATCTTCTTTTTGTCCAAGTGGGGTCGAACATGACTGTGGCTCTGGCACCTTGTGGCTGAGTAGGTCTCAGCACCTTACTGAAACGAGCCGAAGTCTGAGCTCTCCCCCTTTTTAAAGCAAACGAGGAATTCGGCAAAGTTGAAGTCGATCAAGGGTAGTCCCTCAAGCAAAGGTTCGTTGCCATCTTTTCTAGAGGGTCCGTCGGCAATGTTGGAGAGAGAGGGAACTCTGGAAAACCAAGGAAGGCACATTCTCTCAACCTCGAGCACTGCTTGACAAAAGAGAAGCTTGTTGGCAATCGGATGTGCAGAGCTTCCTTTGACTAGACAGGCTTTGGCTGCTTCATTGTCAGTGAAAGCAACAAGAGAAGACCCACCGAAGATGTCGCCCCATAACCAGAAACCGATGCAAACAGCAAGGAGCTCAAGAAGGAAAATGCACTTCGTCCCAAGGTCAATGCCCAACATCGTCATGTCTTCCTGCTCGGGGAACCACGAGAAGAATTGTAAAGGCAAGCCCGTAGGATCGACAATCACTCCTCCCAATCCTGCACAGGGGCCGTTTTCTCCCTCCTCTAAAGACGCATCAGTGTAGAGGTAGAAGCACTCTTTCTTCGCTGCAGAGACTTGTCGTGCCGGGGCTCTTTTGAGAATGCCACAATAAGCTTTGATAGCAGCAAGGGCCTCGTCATCGAGTTTGCCGTCCCTGGACAACGTTCTAGCATGGAAGACTCGGAGGCAGGACTTGGCAAGTCTTCTGAAAACCTGGCAACCTGCGAAAGACATCCTCCCTGCGAGATGTTTAGCTCGGCTTTGAGAGAGCTGTCGGTCTTGGGTGACCTGAAGAAGGTCCCTAATGAGCTCTGAAACTCGGGCTTCAGTGTTCAGAATCTCGACCATGCCTTTGCTGAGAGGTGAGAGGTTCACAACAACCCCCAGGGCACTGAGCTTCGCACTGAAGGAGGTGTGCTTGTCACCTAGCAGGGTGAAGAAAGTTTCAGCTGCTTGGTCTGTGTTGCTCTCGAGACCTGGCTCTGAGAAGATTGGAAAATCATCGTAAAAGCAGGTCCACATTAGCCACAGCCCCTTTGCAGCAATCGCCCATACGGCTCTGCTCATCCTGTTGAAAGAGAAGACTGACTGCGTAGCACCGAAAGGAAGAGAGATTGATCGGAAAACTTTACATCTGCCTTTGGGATCACTGAGGGCCAAGCCAGCGTGTCTCCTTGCACAGGAAGCAATTGGGAGCTGCTTGTAAGCTGACTTCAAGTCGAAACTTTCTGCTAGGAGCTTCGTGGGGAGGCCTGCCTTTTGTCTGAGCTGATACCACCGGCCGATGGCCGCACAGATAACATCCACATTGTGTAGGGTAATCTTTTCTTCAGCAAAGGTCGTGGCATTTATCAGCGAGGCAGACATGTCGTCTACACACCTTATCTTTCCTTTCTGCATAACCCCAAAACGGTTGGAAAGCAGCCCGGCGGCCTCAGGGGACCCTGGGTCGAAGGGGCCAGATAGCCACCCTTTCTCAGCTTCAATCATCGTCTTGTCCCAAGTCCCTTCGACAAGATCCTTGGTTCCCTCTGCCCGGGTTATCGCAGCCTCTCGGATCAGAGGAGTGAGCTCTTCAAGCTCGTCGAGGCTGAGATGTGGGGGAGAAAAGGACTTGGGAAGGTCATGGGACAGGGCCGTGGGGGAGGTCATTGCTGTTGGTGAATCGCCAGGATCTTCATGGACATCCACCGTCTCACGAGTCTCGCCGTCGGCTGTCACTGGCGGCTCCTCGTCGAAGCCCATAATGTCTTCACATGCACCGATACCCCCGAAGGGCCCGGGCTGTTTTCGGAACATCCCGCTGCGAGTGGCATCCGGGTCGAAGGCCCCCAGGTGGATCTGTTTTATCATGTGAGTGAACTTTCTCAGGGGTCTAGCTTGCATTCCTCTGGCGTAGACATCGCTAGAGGAAATCGTTCCAACATGTCTGCCCATGAAATCTAGAGTTGGCTTGTCTGCACCAGCCTTGGCCAGCCACGAGAGTGGTGTCTCCTTGCAGCTGTGCGAGGTCAGCTTGGCCGCTTCAGGAAAGTCCGAGAGGAGGAACCTCAGGATGTCTGTCGCCTCATCCGTCTCGATGGGACGGTTGGAGAAGGAGAGAGGTTTTTGCTCAGTCACAGCTGGGAGCAGTGGGCCATTGCGGCATTCGCCTATGTTCGCAGCTCTCAGGCTGAGAAAGCTTTCAGCCCAGCACTCGCCTGTGATGCCGAAAGCAGGGGCGACAATGGGCAGAAGCCTGACCTGGTCCTTCTTGGCCGTTTTGTGATGGGCCGTCAAGACCTCAATGAAGCCAATCTGCCTGTCATCTGAGATATCGAGAATTATCTCTTGGATGTGACGGAGATCGCTCCATCTGCATCGACCATACACAGCTATGAGGAAGGTTCCTGCACACAGCCTGTCATACACGTGTCGTTTCTTGTCCTCAAGGACACGATGCAGCGCACGAACCATCTTGACTGTTAGAGCCGGGGCTCTTTTCACAGGGCGTTTGCCGGCCAGGGCCAACACTGCCTTGCCTGAGATTCGTGCACTCGTTGCAACTTCTGGGGACCCATCCGGGGTGATGGTGAAACGCATGAAGTTAACAACTCGCATGAATGTCGAGGCTGCAGATGGCCTGCAGAGTGTTGCGAGCTCAGAAACATGGCTCCAGATAATGCGTTCAACCATGGGAAACGGTTGCACACCGTGCATGAGGCACCAGTGCAGATAACGGTGAACACCGAGAGCACGAGAGTACAGCGTGCTCGCCGATTTGCGACCAAAGGTCGCTTCCAAAGTCTCAAGCACTTGCTGCACTGTGGGCTCAGTGTCTGACATGCCAGACACTATGCTTCGGGTGACCTGGAAATGTCTCCAGTATGGCATGACAGTTTCCATCCACATAGTCATGGCCCTAGTTTTCCTGGAGGAATCTTGCTGAAGGAAAGTCTGGTCGGGTCTGGCCCGAAGAAGAGACGCACAACTCTCAGCGGGAGCTTTGTGTTGTAGGAGAATGGCTTCAATGGTTTCTCCTGGGGTGCACGCTTCAGGCTTGTCACTGGTGAGAATGTCCACCAGACTTGCTGACGGGGCAGCAGCCCATTCAAAGCTGGGCTGATCACTGAAAATATCAGACATTAAGTCGCTCTCCCAAGGCTGGCAGAGTCTGGGCTTCTTCGCACAACGGGTCAGGGCCCCCGTTAGTGCACGTTCATACTCCTGACCACTTAGCACCGTGGCTTGTTGGGGGGGGCCCACAGCAGTGGGAGCCACTTCGGCGAACACGAGGTTATCTGCCACTTCGGCGTTGGAGACCACAACTTCTGCGGTGGGGTCGGGTCGGGTGCTGTTTGTAGCCACTTCGGCTTCAGCACAGGTGTGGCCACTTCGGCACACTGGATGGGCTCATCAAAAACGCCAAAGCATGCCTCTGGGCTCGCTTTCTTCTACCTCACACCATCCAGACGGTGCTGATTCTCCAGCTGGCTCTGATGTGTTAGTCAGCGTGGCATGCGGGGTCAGAAAAACTGGAAGGCCAGCTATGGCCAGAAAGGGTGTAGAGGGCACGAGAGGGTCCTCGTGTTCTGCAGAAAATGCTTCGGCTTCCAGCTCTGCAAGAGTTTCGTCCATCTTGGCAGGACGTTGTTGCACACGAGTCAAAACTCAGGCTCACTCAAAAAGGGGGAAAACTTGAGATGAAGTTCGTGGCATGACATGACATGATATGATGCTGTGAAAAACACACAGATCACTGTCACACGAGCATCACAGAGACAGCACTGGAAATGTTTTGCACCTCTGCCACCTCAGAACGATTCAGTAAGGCCGAGAGCGACGAGCATTGTCCCTCATCTGCTGCACACGGACCACGTTACTGGGTCTCGGTGGGACAGGGGAAACCATGTGCACTCGAAGGCCCTGGAGCCAGAGAGTGTGTGTCATGTCGTCTTAAAAACCTCGGGTCTGATTCTGTAAGAGGTCCACGACGGTTTGAAGCCTATTGAGGTGAAACTGAAGGACAAGACAGGTTTGCCAAAGTTGCTCACAGTCACTCAGAAGACGTGTATGAAGATCAACGACATGCATGTACTGCTGCTGCATTCGGTCATGACACCGCTCCAGAGCATCAAATCTCTCTCGAAGATATGCAATCTGCCTCAAGTGCTGGAGGATGGTAAAGCTCATTTCCCATACTGGCACTCTCCAAAATCGTTCAGCAATCTCCTCATCTGTCATTTGTCTAGGCATGACGTGCAAGAAGGTGCCTCAGGCACGTGTTACTCCAACTGGCTGAACACGTCAAGCAATACCAAGACCGAACGGGAAGAAGGACCAAGATTCTCGAACCTTCAGTTTGGCTGAGGAGAATGTTGACTTTTTGACTTTGAGACGCAGCCAGCTCCATGTCAGCTAACTAAGCGTGCGCTACATCCTACCAAGCAGGACGGCTCCTCAAGGGAGCAGATACCGAAAAACAGAGACGACCCGTAGGTCCAGACACTGTACGCACCAGTGAGAGCGTCGAAGGAGAGAAAGCTGTACAAGCCACTTACTTCGAAAAGCCTAGAGGCTACTATCGCACTCAACAAGGAGGGAAACCTCGGAGTGCTCAGAAGAAGTTAACGATTGTTTCGTGCATCAAATCCTCTGCTCCTTGCGCACATGCATTGGAAAGCGCAAGAGGCCAGAAAGAAGCGCGTTGCACCAGATAACTGTGATGCCAGAAGCATGGTGCAGCAACTCTTTTTCGCGCTGGGCGACCGCGGAGGACAACCGCACGTCAGCCGTGCCAGAAAGAAAGGAGATTTCCTTCTCGCCAAACCCCTGACTATTCCCTAGTCAAAGACCCCGGAGGCGTTGCATGAGATGCCAAGCGCAAGAGCAGCAAGTAACCATTAAGCCCTGCTAGGGAATTTGCCTGGTCCTGGGTGTAGGTGATTGGGCTCTTAGCATCATCATGCAGCTTCCATGCCCCGTCTTCACAGCGGAGAAGCGCTGTGTAGTGGCCTGAGCGTGGGGAGTGCCCGCGGTGCAGGATACAGGCTTCAACATGGTACGTCTCTGACTGAACTGCTCGGTGCTGCCCAACAAACCGAGGCACCATCAGTGTGCCAGCAGTGAGCAGTTCATACTTTACCTGCATGGCACGGGCGCGAGCTGTGCTAGCATATCGAGGTATGCGTAATGCTAGGATATACGGGGCGTGCAGCAGCGCCTGTCGAGGCTCTTGCATGTGCCACTTGTCAAGAAGCGCTTGCAAGGTAACCTCTGTCAGTGAAGGGAGAAGCGAGATTGGTTGGGAGACGCAGCCGACATCAGTTACTTCCGCTTGTGGCTGGGAGCGCCTGCGAGCTTGCCAGTCGCCCGCACAGAGGTCCCCGAGCAGCCTTGGCGCAAAGTAGGCGTAAAACTCAGCCACGTCGTTTTGCAGAGCTAGGTTGGGCCATGCACACAGCAGGGGCTTGAAAAGCTCCAGCAGGCGAACCGGCTTACTGTCTTGATGCATGCTAGAGCAATACCTCCAAAGTGCAGATGTCTTAGATTGTATGGCAAATCTACAGGACCACAGACAGCTGATTACTGCACAGTTAAGGTAGCAAAGATTGTGTGGGTTATGGGCAGGGGCGTCAAAGCACGGTAGAAAAATGGGATGCAGGCCTGCAGTGGAACTCATCCCCATCTGCGAGGAGCTGCGCCCATCTGCTGCTCGTACTGCGCAATCATCTTGGATAGGCGCTGCGCCATGGGGCTTCTTCTCATGCCCTCCGGCTTCAAAGAGGCATCTATCATGGATAGCGCCGGGTGGCCACAGAGCGCAAGGAGCCCCGAGTGGAGCGAGGACTTCCTGTTGCTCACCTCGATCAACATCACTGCCTTGCGCTGTCGCTGGATTTCGTGCCATTTCTTCAGACTGTGAAAGCGTAGGACCAACGTGGTATCCATCAAGTCGGCTTCCAGGCTCTGCAGGATTTTCACGGTCTGGTCGGTGGAGCATGCTGGGCGGCATGAGTCCGGAATCATTTTCTGGGTGTCTGGACACCACCTCATCATGGTCCAGGCCCCGGCACCCGCTCCTGCTTCCGTGCTTGCCTTGAAGAGCCCAGTTTCGGTCGCCTTGTTCTGCAGTTCTGATGTCTGGGTGAACGTGGTGAGGCGCGTCAACATCTCTTTGATCAGGCATCGCATCAGCAGCGTGCGAAGGGGCACCTGTGGCTGCGTAGCACTCGACGTCAAGGAGGCGTTGGCAGACTCCCCTGGGTCGTTGCCAGTAGAGCTTGTCTGATGTGCTTGGTGCGTCGCATGCCACTTCTGAGAGACTTTGACCAGAGCCTCGAGGACACTGCAGCCTCCCCCCCCCCCCAAATGAAGGACAAAGCCGCGGTCGGCTCGTGTCATCTGGAGGGAATCCTCCTGCTGGAGCGTGAGCTTCGCTGAGACCAGGTTGATGGCTGTGAGCGGGTCGGGCTGCGGATAAGACATGCGGGGCGGGGCAAACTGGTAGCCCATGTGCTGCTTCCCGCGCGCATGAGCTGGTGGGGTCAGGAGGAACTCGTCCGGCCCCCGTCGTCTCTTTGGCCCTGGCGTCATCATGGTGCTGGTAGGAGCTTCTGCCAGAGGTGCTGGTGCCGAGCGAAACATATCGCCCCATGTCTCCACAAGTCCATCCACGTACTGCGAGGGCTCGTCGGTATCCATGCTGTACATGGCTGGGCTGTCGTGTGGACTCAGGGTTCACCAAGATTTGCAGCGCGACCGCTTGAAAGACAACAGCACAAGTTTGCACATGTGACCGTGGCTGTTTGACGGTCAAGCAACAAGCTAAACACGCATGACCAGCCATGGGTGCAAAGTACTGTGAGCTGCGCTTGTGCATCTCAAGCGTGAGAGCGCTTATGGCTTCCCAGATGTCCTGATGTATGCGGCGCCAGTGGTGTTTGAAGCCAGGGCTGCCTGCAATCCATTGTCCGCAGATTGGACAGTGCTGTCTCAACCACGCTGCAACACTGGCATCCCGGAATAAGTCCACCCAGGCATTTGCATGCGGCTGCATGAGTATCTGTTTGGCTTGCGGAAACTTATTGAGGAAGACAGGAAATTCGAGGACATGAGTGTGGGTAGGGTAAGTTGTAGAGGGGGAAGGGGGTTGGTTATGGTTAACGGACTCCATCTTCCAAAAACTCCTCAGGCCTTCACACGCAAGAAGTCGCACATGTTGCTCCAGAACCTGCCATTTGGGGAACGCTGTCTTGCAAAACGAGCAGGTGGGCAGGCCATTGAGGCCTATGTCACGAGCTCGAAGGGTCGATTGCACAGGACGTACTGCATGCTTGCGCCTTTGGTGCGTCTTTAAGCCGCTGTTCGTCGTGAAGGCTGCGCCGCAGACGTCACAGCAGTGCCTGGCCTCGTCTGTTTCCTGCACAAACTCCCTCATCGCCTGTGTAAAGGTCGAAATGGCATGTGTGATTTGCGCCGCAATCGCAGGATCCTGAAGGACAGTGTCTTCCTTCGGGGCCTGCGCCAGCTTTGTTGCCAAGGTGTTCCCTCGGAGAGCAAGTGTGTCGTAGTACCAGGCAACGCCTGTGCGACCTAGGAGGTCAGCAGTGGATTCGCGGGTGATGTGCACAGGACTGGCACAGACCGCCCTTAGTTGCTTGACAAGAGCAATGTGCAGAAGACGACTGCCGCTCTTGGTGACTCCCACGACGTGGAGCGCATAGTAGAAGATCGGCTCCAGGCACGCCCGCCACAGCCTTAGTCTGGTGTGTTGTGTTAGGGAATGATGGCCATTCAGCAATTTCCGGAGTTGATGATATCTATGCTGCGCTTTGCGAATGTTTCGGCGCACCGTGGCATCTTCAAAATTTTTGTAGGAAATGACAACCCCCAAGTAAACCGCAGTAGTGTGAAGAGGAATGCAATCAACCTTTCCAGTGGGGTTATTAGGGTTAGGAACGCGGAGATATGGCCCTGTGGGGGAACGTCCCTGACATTGTTTTGCAGCCTTACGAAGGGCTCGGCCTCTGACTTCAAGCAAGGCCACAGACTTTTGCGCGTTGACATCGAGACCAGCATCCCGCAGGACTGCAAGGAGAACCCCTGCCTGCTTGATGGCTGCTGCCAGGCCTTTGGTGTCGTGAAAGGTAAGGCCGAAATGATGATCATCTGCGTATAAGGTGAGTCCCTTTAACCCTTCAGCAGTCATATGTTGACTCAAAGTTTTCCAGAGCCATCCCGACGCAAGAGACCAGAGAAGAGGAGAGAGCGGACAGCCCTGTCGTATACCGTTTGAGGTATGGAGTGTTTGCTGCGCTGCCCCTGAGCTCACGACGTACTTGGTCGATCGCAGGAGTGAAAGCACCACGGCTTGCAGCGGCTGCGGAACCGCCGCAGCCTGAAGGGCATGTTGGATGTGCGACCTCCGAAGGGTGTCAAAGGCTTTTGAAAGATCAAGAGCCAGCTGTAACGCACCAAAGCCCGAGCCACCGGCAGATTTGCAGGTGCCATCGTGCCGTCTCTGTATACTCTCTGTGTAAGCTTGTGTCTGCTCACGAACAAACCTGCAGTGGCCAAGTACCTTGGCCAAGCTGTGGTATATATTTCTGTTAGAGGTGTATGCAAATTGGGGCGTG